AGGGGCGTTTTAGCGGGCCATGTTTGAGGAGTAGAGGGGAGGGTGGACGCCAAGAGCCCCGTATTGACTGATATTTGGGTTTCTTCCAAATAAAATGAGGGATTAGGTTAACGGACACAAAGTAGCATGTTTACAGTCTGATCAGCTGTGGGTTCCAATCAAACTGGATCAATGAGAAAAAACTATGGTGCTCAGAAAAAATGATGACATGATGCAGCTTTGAGGCAACGGCTGACAAATCCACGTGAAAATGAGAAACGTGTATCATTTTTAGACTTTTGCAAGATTTCTTCAGTATTCAGATTTCAATGCATCATAATGTTTAATAGGCATAATGCATTATTTATGATTTGTGCTAAAATGTGACAACTAAAGAGTGCATTCTGGTCATTTTTAAGTGTGCTTCTGTGTAAAAAGTAAACATTGTATTTCCTTATCACACTGATAAGAGAACGGCTAGTCAAACCAAAACAGCAGCAATTTCTGACAACTCCTAGAAACTTGTTTTAATTCTTAGGAGATTGGAGTTGTTTTAAGGCAGCAGCAGTCCACTGTGATGTGGGTATAATGGGCTCACACCTAAGTGGACTGCTGCTGCTTTAACTCTAACTTATACATCTCTGTTGGCTTGAGTGTGGAGTCACGCACACACACTGACGGAGATGTTTCCCTTCAGACGTCTTCGTCACCTGGGGAGTGATGCAAAGCAATTCCCTGCCAGAACAACAGAGGGCGTAGTGCTTTTCTGAGGTATCCTGCCACCGTTACAGTCCCGTATCCTGTGGTGTATTTACTATTGCGTTTTCATTGTTTTAATGTATTTCAGAGAGTTCATAACATGGACAAAGCTGTCCCTCCTTCCCCTCCACCTCTTCATGCGATCAGCACCTCTACACCCACGTTTCTCGTCATTTGCGTCCACAAATTGAAAATCTGGTGTGTATCTTTGTACTCCTTCAGTCACAAGTGATTACATTTTCATATTTTCTGACTTTTTCTGTGATGCATTCTTTAATCTGTTCCATGTCTGCCGCTAAATATCCCTTTATTTTTTTTTTAGCAATTGTACAATAGCTCAAAAATTGTGGGGCAATTTGGGTGCTGTTGACGAATGTAAAGGAAGCGGCGTCCTGACCAATCACAAGCTTGCGGTTTACATCACTTTTGACAGATAGTTAAAAAATTTGGGCATGTCTTTGTAAACCTATTCGAGCCCGTCAGGGAGCCCTTGCGCCGACACATAATGGCGTTGCATGTCTTCGTACCAACGCAGAAGTATAAACTAGGCTTTTAAGCAACTCTACTTACCCGATTCCACTGAAAATTTTGTGGTTATTTTGGTAGAAATATTTAAAAAATTCCTGCCGGAATTGACTCCTGGATGGGTATTGCTGGTTGTGATATGATAAAGTAAACAGCAGTGCAATGCAAAAGGTTAGAAAGGTTAAAAGTGGAGTAGGAGATGTTTCTCTGGAGCATTGGTCCATTTATGCTATGGTCAGCTCGGTCTGGGTTGGGTGGGGTATCTGCATTTACAGTGGCGTTGTCTGTGCATTGTTCATGCAGAGCTAATGGCTTTTTTTGGCCCTGCTTCCCTGTGATTTATCTCATGCTGAGCCAACCATACACACCCACCTATGGACTGATTGGCCGGCTGAAGTTTTGTCTCTCTCACATCTACCTAGTAGCGGGAGCCTCTGACTGGCAGGGGTGGAATCATCCAGTGCTGGCTTAAGCTAGGAATTATGGAAGAAAAGATGCCAACAATGGAATGAAAAGATAACATAATGTTTTTATTGGTGTTTTTTTTCTGTAGTCATTGTGTCTGGCATTCTCCTGCATTCTGGAGACGTGGTTTGGGGATCTGAATAAAGGGGATTGGACCTTCCAATTGTGCCTTTTCAAATTGTAGCTTGCTCAAAAAGCTTTACAGGAACTCCTCTACCTCTAAGAAAATAACATTGGCAAGTCTTGCTATAAAAGTTTGGAACTCTTACAAGTGCAGAATTCTGATTTGGCTGTAGGTGCATTGCGACTAGCTGTTAGCTCATCAATCCCATCAGGATTAAACAGCATTTCTCCAAATAGAAGTCCATCATCCAAAAACACTTCTAAATCAACTTATTGCGGAGAAGATGAACTGAACCACTAAAAGCAAACAAAGGTAGCAATTCCAGTGCAAAGTTTACACTTTGATCATTCTACAAAACGACACCATTATTGCTCTGTTATACATCTGTGAGCATCAAAAACACAATCATTTATAAAAGTGTGAAATCCTAAAATGTAGAGATTAAATGAATACGTGGACTGTGGGCTCAGCTTTTCTTCTAACTGGCAGCAAATCAAGATGATTACTTCTGAGGAAGCCTCATCCAGAAATAGTACTGTAACAATTAGTGCCACAAATGTAATCTAATGAAAAATAGTCCTCATTATTTTCTAAGTTGATGAAAACCTCAGCGAGGTAATTTCCCTTCAGTGTTTGCCAACAAAACTGGCATCATCACACAGGAAGAAATATGTAAACTTGAAAATACATCTTCAAAAATCCCCACAATTAGTTTCACACTTGTCTTCTGATATACATAATATCAGAGCAGTCTTGCCTCAGATGAGTGGAAGGGATTTTAAAGGAGCTAATTAATCGTGAGCTTGCTGCCAAAAAATGAGCCACATCTCCACTTTCTCCTCCGAAGAGTTTAAGATTCGGGGAGAAGAGATCAATCTTGTTTCGATACAATGTGAGACCTCGTTAAGTAACAGGAGAGCAGCTATCATCAAATTTGATTTAATTAACAGGAGTAACAAGTGTATCAAGAGTCGGGGGGAGGGGGGGGGGGGGGTGGGGTGTCAGCTTGACTTGGCTGACAAATGACCTAATTGGTTACATTATCAAGTCATTATCAAAGGCTAATTAGGGAGCTACAGAGGAGCGCCAATTATGAAAAAAAAAAATATATATATGCAAACGAGTCAGTCACCCCCGGTTCCTCCTCCCCCTCAATTTAGCCCAACACTGTTTCTTTTTAACAAAAGCTTTCTTTCTTTTTTTGGTGGGGGGTGTTTAGGGCTTCTATTGCTAGCCAAGAAACAATGGTGTTGGGGGATGAGGGCTGTATCATGCTGAGCAATTCTAGAAATGGTGAGCATGTTATCAGTGTGTGTGCATTTTATTAAATCGATGGTGCGTTATTGAGTTCTGTAGGCAACTTCTTAACTTACAAAGAGTTTAGTCTGGGAGGGGGCTGCCCTCATTAACCCCACCCCACCTGCCCCCAACCCAATCAGCCGACCAGCAGGTTAAAGCAACAACACAACCTAATTAGAGCGAGGGGTGAAATGTCAACGTGCTCCTTTTCTCTCTCTCTCAACTCTCTTTGAGTCTGGTGGGACAAAGCGCCGCTGCTCTGTTGGTCGCTGAGGTGAACAAAATAAGAAAGGCCTTGTAAAAGTTTGTTGTGAATGAGCATTAACTTTGTTACAGATCTGGGTTGACGAGGATTTGAAAGTACCGGTTTAACTCGGTGAACCAGAAGCAGTTATGAGGAGATTATAGTCATCACAAAAGGATTCACATGTGCTTTTTTCACTTTATTTTTCATTGCAGTTAAAACAGTAAAAGTGTAAAATTAAAATGACAAGTCGCAGATTTCTTTAACTATTAGAGCTTCAACGTTTTTATTGACAGAAGGTTCATGTGAAAAGCCACCTGAAAGGAAAATAAAGCTTCAAACGAGGAAACGTTTAAAGCTAAACATGACTTAGTTTGCCACTCAAACACTCAAATGTCCCTGATGCAAAAACCAGCAAGTTAACAGTGAAACCTAGAAAGATTAATAGATACTGATCATCAGTTATCTATCTCAGTGCTTCCCAAACAAAATGTGATTGTTAAAACGCGATCCCAGAAGTCTCAAACCTGCTTAAAAAACAAACTATTCAGGGCATAAAGAAAATCAGCTCATATTCACTTACATCCATTTATGATCAGTTCAGTTTGTGTAACAATCAGGTTACAAATACAGCTTCAGCAATTGTTTTTCTATTTTACTTTGACTCCTGGAAATCATCTCAAGGTCCCAGCTTTGGGACCTACTAGATGCTGTTGCAGAAAACCCCAAATAAGAGGGACAAGCTTCATAGGTTGTCCACTTGGTTCTGTTAAGGAAGCAATAAGGGATAGAATGTTAACTTTATCAAAGTTTATTAAACTGAATTTCTTCAAATAATTTTAATCCAATGCAGCGTTGAAGTCATTTATAAGAGCTTGTTGCAGTTCTGTTTAACTGCTAATGCTGTGGTTGAAGATCTGCAAAAGACATATGGCTATGTTTATTTTTTAATTTATTTTGTTTGCATTTGTGATTAAAAACCAGTCATTTCTACATGTAACCGTACTCCATCAGATGTTAAAATGTGTTGCTCCGTGGAAATATTCCCTGGAGCTTAAACTTTGAAAATTTCCAGATTGCAGGGCGTGTTGTCGCTTTATGAGTTTATTTATCTGGATGTAGACAGCTCCACCCATTTATTTCAATTCAAGTTTTACACAAAGAATATATGATGCAGATCTACTGCAATTGAATTTTGTTTTGCACTGGTGATCCCCCCCCCCCCCACACACACACACACACACTCTTTCAAGGTTCACAGACTCAACTCCACCTTTCCCATTCGGCTTCCCCGCAGCACCGCTTATTAGTGGGGAGGGAACGGTGCTATCAGTGTGATTGAGGGACCAAGAGGAGCATGTGTGAGTGTTTTTTGTGTGTGCACTGCTGAAGCATGGAGCAAAAAGCACTGCCGCGCTCCAACCCCCCCCCCCCCACCCCCACCCCCCACCCCCGCTCATGATAAAAGGAGGTCAGACACCTACAGGAGCATTTTGGTGCAGAGCAAAAGAAAGAAGGAGTTAGAGGGAAGATGAGAGGAGAGGAAAAGGCTGGGCCGAGGCCCCGGAGGGTTTGAAAAGACAGCGGCACGATGAGTCTTGTAAAAAGGACTTTTGGGACTCTGGTAGTTTGCCCTAAAGTGTAAGTGATAGCAGCTGTTCTTCTTCCCCTCGTATTATTGAGCCGTGAACCTCACACACTGGTGGTGTTCTGTTGCTAAATACGCAAGTGGGTTATGGATGGAGGACCCAGGCAAATGTGGTGGTTCGACAAGACCAACAACTGGTTCAATAGTTGCTTGTGGTCTGAAATGTGTTATTGGCGTAGGATAAATGTGAGAGAACAATTTTTAAATCTTTTTTTTAATCTCCACAATGTATTTATAGCTATACTATGTTACAACGTTGTTAAGTGGAATAAAAAATGTTTTCCACATTTGCTACAGCAGCTTTAAAGCAAACATGGATTAACGTGTGTAGATATGACATTTCCTGCTGGCTTTGGTTTACGCACAAACAAAGAAAACCTCTGTGGCGATAAATGAGTGGTAAACGGTGAGCACTTCCCTTAATATCAGAAATGAAAGCTGAATCTCCCGGCACAAAACAAGTTTTCCTGTCTGCAACCAACATGAAACAAATAAACAAGCAGAAACGGGAGGTGTGTGTGTGGGGGGGATTTCTTTATTTGATGTTGATGGAGAGAAAAAGAATGCAGGTAGGCGATAAGAGGAGGAGGAGGGAAGCTAAACAAGGCTCCAGCTCAGGAACAGAGGAGGAAAAGGGAAAGTAAATGGTGGATGGAGAGCATCAAGCAGCAGTGTGAAGAAACAACAGAGTCTATTTCAGTTAAACAGGCCTTTCAAAAAGGCTCTCATGGCAGAAGGGAAAATGAAACAACTGTCTAAACAGGTCTATGTGTGGTGCTTTGCCTCATGAATGGCTCAAAGCTGCATCAGCGTGAAATCCAAATCATATTTCCTTTTTAGAACATTGAAAATAGCAAGAGTGAGAGGGAAATAAGCGGCGCTAAATTGATTTTTCGATGGATGTCAGGTTGTTGTTGTTTTTGGGGACAGTTTTCACCCAAATGATCCACTTCACATTGATAAACGGAACTAACTGTATATTCCTGTGCGTTAAAAATACATTTTCCATGCCTCTACTTCAGTCTGACTGTTTTAGTTCCAGGAGTGCTCCCAACCAGCTGACCTGGACCCCCTGAGGTGCACTCACGAAGCACATTTCTCTCACAGTGCATCAACAGCGTGCAGAAAGTGGTGTTACCTGAGGAGGTGGTGAAAAAAGCGGCGAGCGTACTTGCTGACGGGCTCCCTGTACTCCAATATCACTGTATCAGAGAGAGGAGCAGACGGGGCGTAAAACACACCCAGAGCTGCTTCCAGCTGGGCTGCAGACGGACAAGAACACTCAGAATGTAATTAGCTCCTAAAAACTGGAGTCTAACTACAATTATTTATTTGAATTATTTTACATTAAAGACACCCACCCTCTCTCTGTGCGTTCAGTTGCTGCCTCAGCAGGTGGTTCATGATTGAGCTCAGGCCTTGGTAGCACTCATCCCTCATGGTGCTCCAGTCCATGGCCTCCAGGATGCCCAGAGCCTCTCTGACCTGCCCACAGCGCAGCCTCTGCTGCAGCAGCTCACCCAGACCCAACTGGCCTCCTGTAAGAGCTCCTGCCACATGAATCAGATCAGTATTCACTACAAAGGAACAAAAGGAGGGCTTTAAGCAACAAAATGTCCAACAGCTGAAATAATGGTTTCATTAAATGGCCTTACTAATTTAGAATTAACATAAGATAGCAGAACAGAAAACATTTAGCTTTTCATTGCCTAAAAATCTTCTAACTCAGGTTTAATTAAGTAGCACAGAGTTTAAGTTTCACTATCGGTTCAACAGGCAGCAGACGGACAACTCTTGTTAAAGTGAAGGAGCTGTGTGTATCTGTATGCGTGTATCTAGGAAAGCAATTAAAATGACAAGCAGGTAATTAGCAACCCTTCAAATCCCCTAAAGGGAAGGCTAATGTGGCTAATAAATCAGCTGAGAGGCTTGTTTGTGTTTTTGGGTGCTGCTTGTGTGTAACTGGGTCCTGCAGCTGGGCGGTGACGTCTGCTTTAACTTAACTAAACAAAGACGAGCCCTAATGAAGCTCATGAGATTCCCTCCCACACAGAGCCATGGTGACTTAACCTCTGGTAGGACTTCAGCTCACGCAAGATCTTAAAATCAATCAGGAGGTTTTAGTTTTGTACATGACTGACAAACCCTCAGATATGTTTCAGATTAAGCATCACATCTGTGTGTGACCTGGGTTTGATTTGAAAAAGTATGGAACATGCGGGTAAAAATGTTGTATTTGTGCCACTTTTAGATGATTATGATCAGGTGCAGGTGAGTAGGAAAGACTTTCTGTGCCAAAAGAAACGTGACAAAAGTGCATCTTCCATCTTTGTCTTTGCTGATGCCCTCAACCAGGTCAAATCAAGTCCTCGCCAACTAAATGTTCCAACAAACTGAACAAGTAACATTTTTACGACTATGCAGATTATATGTGACAACTTAGCATGGATGAGCTCGCCCAACCTAACAGAGCTGCTTTGCAGTATAATAAATAATCAGTCGAATCAAGGATCGTTAGTTTCTTAGTTTGTATTTTTAAAAGGAAATCAGCTTTTAAAAAATATTTTTTAAATGTGCACCCAGTTACATAACTGTCCTTTACATATCCGTTTCCATTCCAAGAGTTTAAAAAGTCACTTATTTTTCATGGGTGCAGCACATTTCACTGGTCTGCTTCTCCACAGTGTGCACCGATGCAGGCCCAGTTGTGGCCAACGTGTGCCCAGATGAGATAACATGGTGCAGGCGGGGGAGGAGGTTAGGGGGTGAGGGTGGCACCAGGGAGGCTTGCCTCAAATGAAAAAAGAACCTGGAGCAGGGCCAAGTCTTTCTTCCTCGCCGCTTTGCCACTCACTCCTTCCGTCATGTAGCGGGTTGTGTGAAACAAGTCAATACAGACGGAGCACAAGCAAACAAACAAATCAGTGTGTGCATGTGTGTGTGTGTAAACGGACGTGCAGGAATACAAGAATACACACATGTATTTGTGTGTGTGTGTGTTGGGGGATTTATCATGGAAAAAAGACGTGCAGCGACTTTCTTCATCAAAAACCTTGGCAGACGATCAGAGGGAAAGCTATTGTTAGAAGACGAACTCCCCTTTCCCTACACACACACACACACACACACACACACACACACACACACACACACACACACACACACACACACACACACACACACACACACACACACACACACACACACACACACACCTTCCTCACTTATACTTTCAAACTTCAGCAGAGATGCATGCCGCCGTCACAATTTCTTCCCAAAGTCACAATTAAAGATGCTTAGTGTATGTGTGCGTGTGTGTGTGTGTGTGTGTGCGTGCAGTCGTGTTAGAGGGTAGGTGGCTGCTTTGGAAAAACTTTGATTGGCAAACTTTATCTGGGGTCCCCGAGGGACCGTGCAGCCACTGTAAACGATTTATCGGAAAAATGCATCCCAGAATGCACCTGGGGGCTCTTGCCCTAGGGCGATTATTGAATGACCTCTGAGAGCGTGACTCCTGCTAACCTTCCCAACAAATTAACTTCCCTCAGTAGTGAGGAGGCAACAGGGCGACCCGCTCAGCAGCCGGGTTCAGATGCCGCATCCTCAGTGGGCAGAGGGCAGCTGCAGGAGGAAAAGGTGACTCTGATAGTGGGACAGTTATTTTGTTTTCCTGCATGTGATGTAATTAGAGGACATATATAAAGTATTAAAACAAAACAGCGGAATTTTTTTTTGTTTTGGTTGAACTTTTCTCCTATAAATGGCATCAACACTGTGGGATTGTGGTCTCAGGTGTGGATTTAATAAATCCTCCATCTTAAATATTTTGAATTATTTGATGAATCAGTACAAAGAAAAAGTTCTGAGTCATAAACTCATTTGTTGAATGATTCTGTTTCCAAGGTGCCAGGCTTTTCTGTCATCTTTTTAAAAGGTCTTGAGAAACATTTCCTGAAAAATTTTAAGAATATTTTTCTCTATTTAGCTGCTTTTTACTCATCCGTCCTCAAAAGACCTCCAGAAAAGTCGAAGAAATATTGCTCAAATATTTTTAAAAAGATTTCCTGAAAGTATAGATCTTTGGAAACAAAGTATGAAAGAAAACTGAGTTAATTTTAAACTTTGAAAGTTTTCTGCTTTTTTAATCTGCCTTTACTTACCTAATCTTAATCTTAAGGCAGCTAGTGGTCCCCCATTGAAGACTAATGCAATCATGTTTGTCCCTTCTGGGCCTCCATCCAAACCAGTCCCCCATTTCAGTCCAACCAGATCTCCAGAGCAGTGCAGGTGCTGAGTTAGTCTCAAGGTGGCTGCTGGAGCCATCTCTTCTGCTACCAGGGACATGTTTAGAGGTGCCAAGCCCACATCAAAGCACATCAGTTCCTTCTGTCCTCCTGCTACTATGGCAACAGCCCCTGCAGGGTGCCAGCCCATGTAAGTGGGTGGCACAGGGCAGGGTGCCATCAGCGAGACCCCCCGTCTTTGGTCAAAAAGTACTAAGGAGGAGTCGCTTAGGCCCAGGAGGAGTATGGACTCGGAGGGGTGGCGGGAACAGCAGAGAGGATGTGATGGTAGAGGGATGCTGACGACGGATAACCGGTGCAGTCGTCCTCGTACACATTCATACACACAGGCGTTAGCGCAGGTGCCGTCTCTGAACCCCTGAGGTCCAGCAGGTAATTCCACCATCAGCATCTGGTAGTGCTGGAGCTGGCTGAAGCAGCAGTCCAGAGGGTTGCCTTCGGTCCGGACAGAGCAGAGGATCTGAGGGAGGAAAAGAGCAAACAAGAAAACTATAAAACACAGCACCTTAGTTATTTCTGCCTGTATTTATTTATTAAAACTATAAAACCACTTTGCTCCTTTGTTGTTAGCTTAATCCCTTCTGCTTTACTTGTAATATTTGACATTTTGAATAAAAGCCAGAGGTGAAAAAACAGCAAGAGAGAACATGTGAGAGAAAGAAACAAGTCACTCTGTTGCAGCAGCTCCTAAACCCCCAAGAGGAGGAAACGAGTCCTTCCATTCTGCTCATAAACACCCTGCTGTCAATCAAGACAGCTAATGATAAGAGCTTCACTTTAACTCAAGGTCAACAGCATCTTCTCCCTGAGCATGCCGCGGCTTGGCACAAAGTGATAAACAGCCTCTGCTTTTTACCTGTGTGAAGAGCCAAAAGCTCAACTGTTCAAAAGCAAATAAATAAATAAAAAAGAGCCGTCTTCTGACTGTAAGAAAGGGAAATCTTAATTCTGGGTTTCACCTTTGACCAAATAATCTTACGAGTATTTGTATTTGGACTGACACCAGCTGGTGGGCACAAAGATCCTGCTAAGGAAACAGGCACTGACATTGAAAGAGACCGTCCGTGTCACGGCTGTTGGTGGAAACACCCACATGGAAGCAGAAAACAGGAGGTGGATGACAGGAGACAACAGCCTGCGATAAACAGCAGTCCAACAGTTTCACAGCCACTAACAAGCTTTTTTAGAAGGGATTTCACCTTACCAAAGCCTCTATCAGAGCCTTGCATTGACCGTGGCAGCTTTGGCTAAATGAGCCCATTTCTTTTCGCCATGTAGACAGAAAGAGGGATCGGCTGCCTGCCTGCCTTCTTTTCCTTTTGCAAAGCTGCTCGGCCCAGCTTTTTGGCAGGCATTGCCAAAAAGGGACTTAGAGTGAGGAAGGCTCTTTTTTTTTTTGCCTGCCCATGGTCTACAGCAGGAAAGAAGCAGATGACTGTCCTCCTGAAAGCTTTTTTTTTCTTCACTATAATCCCTCAGAGCAAGCTCCTGCTGCTCCCCAGGGGGTGAACGCTGTGTGTGTGTGTGTGTGTGTGTGTGTGTGTGTGTGTGTGTGTGTGTGTGTGTGTGTGTTTATTTGAGACAGCAGGCAACAGGGGCTAAATTCAGGTAAAAGGTGCTTTCTCTTTGGGATGGCTATATTTATGTGTGGCCAAAGTGACACCTGAATTAAATAAACCAACATATGAGCGCGTAGCATGTAAGGATCTTTTGAGTCTGTCCAACAGAACTTCGTCACAGGCATCAAACGACCTACTTCACCACCACTAACCATGACCCAGCCAACCATATCTCATGCTCTCAGCGTTTCATGCTGTGCCTGGCTCTCTGGGCCCACCGTGCCAGCCTGCCATCATGGCACAATCACGACAAGTGGGTGCAGCTGATTCAGCTGTTTGGCTGCTGACAGGTGATCCTTTTTAAGAAGAAATTGAGCGATATCAGATTTAAGACACATAAGATGCAATAGGTACGAAAAAGTTGTTTTTTTCTTCACATTTACCACGTCCAATTTGTGAAGCTAAAATATTTGATTAAGGCCCTGTCCACAAGTAGCCGGGGATCTGCCAAAACGTAGATATTTTTCTACGTTTTGGCCTGTCATCCACACGAAAACGGAGTTTTTTCACACAAAAACGGATCTTTTTAAAAACTCCGGGCAAAGTGAAGATCTGCGTTTTCTCCGTTTTGGGTGTCTGCGTGTGGACAGACAAAACCGGAGTTTTAAGGTCTGCAACGTCACTTTCAGCGACAAAAAAAATGCTGACATCACGTGTGCGACCTGTGTTTACACTAGCCGACAGCATGGATGCCCTCAGAGCTGCGCTCGCTTTATCAATTGTCCAAGCGCTTTTTGCTTGTTTGTTTTTGCAAGCGGAATTACTGCTCCTTGCAGAAGACCACAGACGAAGGACGAGGTTAAGAACGGGGAAGTACTGCCGCCTACAGGTCTGGCATGTCCTTAACAACGTATTTATCCGGGTACGTGTGGACAGAGTTTTCTTTTTAAAACGAGGTGGTGTGGACGCAAGTTTCTGGAGGGGTGGATATTCGTTTTTAACAAAACCCGGCTACGTGTGGACTAGGCCTAAGTGTTGCCTGCCATGCTGCCCTTGTCTAAAAACTTGGGATGTGGCGTTAGCATCCTGCCAACGCACAGAGAAATGATAATCTGAGGTGTACTTTGACGATTTTAAATAGTCTGTTTAAATTAAGGGGATGGGACTTAAACCACATAGAGAGCCTAGTTTCCTCCCTTTTCCGATTGGCTCATGGGTCCTGGGAAGAACAAAAAAATAAATGCAAGTCAACAAGACTAAAAGTGCAATTTTTTTATCTGCTTTGCCTTACACCCTTTATCACACATGCTGTACTTCAATTTAAATGAAAAGTAACAATGTGTGTTTCAAACATGTCAGTCGTGTATTTTGAGATTGATCAACTTGCAAAAATTCGTAATCAGCTTGACTAGAAATCAGACGCTGGCACGTTGCATTTATGATGTCAACATAGAATCTCCTCTCCCTAGCGTAGCTGCTACTTGGTCAGATTTATGGTGGTTGTTTTCTCCTGAAGGAAGGATTTGAAGTTTGCTGAATGTACAGCCATTTTTCCCTTTGATTTTCTGTGTTTCTGGTTCGATTATGTAATTTAGGTGAAACACAGTTGTAGTCCTGGACATATTTTCACACAAAACCTAAAATAACGCTTACCCTCATTTAAAAAAAAGCACATTCTTGGCATCAAAATGCATCTTTAAAATTCACAGACATCATATGTGAAATCCATGGCACATAACAAAGGTTTTTATCCCCATTGACTTACATTCATTTTTTCGTTCTTCCGGGAACCCATGGTTCGGAAGTAGATGGGTGTGGCTTAGTCGCCCTATACTGCAGACAGCCGCTAGGGGGTGGTTTGAATCCTTTTGTCCCTAATTTTAGTTGTATTCCTCTGTAGCTATTCTTTGTGTCAATGCTCCAAACTGTTCTCTGTAGTTTTGGTGTAAAGCCTGATTTATACTTCTCCATCAGCTCGAATGCAGAGTGGCGCACATGCACTGATGGAGACGTTTTCCTTTCAGACTTCTCTGTCACCTGGGGAGTGTTGCAAAGCAATTTTCCACAGGGACAATAGAGGGCGCAGTGCTTTTCTGGGAGCATCCTGCCACCACTGGAGTCATGACTCTGGTTCATGATACTTGGGTGTTTATTTTGTGTTTATTTAATTCAAGGCAAGGCAGTTATATTTGTATAGCACATGTCAAATACAAAGGCAATTCAAAGTGATTTACAAAAGCAAGAACAGAACACAATAAATCAAACAAAGAAATGTAGATATTAATTTCAGATTCAAAAAACAGATACAAGGCATAGTCAAAAGGGTAGCAGTTACAGTGCAGAAGGTTCAGCATAAGAAACATTTATTCAAAGTCTGATGAAAACATGAGGGTTTTTCATTTTGATTTAAATGTTTCTAGAATTGGGGCACATTTGAGGTCATGAGGAAGCTGATTCCATCTGTGTGCAGCATAGTAGCTAAAACAGCTTCACCCTGTTTGGTTCTGACCAGGGGTTCTACCAGCTGGCTGTTTCATAAGGATCTGAGAGACCTGCTGGGTGTATATATTGGAAGGAGATCTTACATGTACTTTGGCCCCATGTCAGTGAGAGATTTATGGACTAGTAAAAGCACTTTAAAATTAATTCTGTAGTTTACTGATGTGCTTGGTTCTCTTGGTTCTTGTTAAGACTCTAGCAGCAGCATTCTGAATAAGCTGCAGTTGTTTTACAGCTGTTTTGGGAAGACCAGATAGAAGACCATTGCAATAGTCCAGCCTGCTGGAGATGAACGCATTAATGAGTTTTTCTAGGTCTTGTTTTGATAGGAGACCTCTGAGTCTTGCTTTTTGATGGAGATGTTAAAAGAGTGATCTAGTTATAGCTTTAATGGGAACAGTGAAGCTCAGGTCTGAATCAATGATAACACCAAGATTTCAAACCTGAGTCGTTGTCTTTATTCCTTTGGAGCTAATTTGAGAAATAACTTCCATCATATGCTTATTATTTCCAAAGACAATAACTTCAGTCTTGTCTTAGTTTAACTGAAGGAAACTTGATTGCATCCAGTCACTAACTTGCTCTAGGCACTGACAGAGTGTCAGAACTCAAGTCCCCAAACCAGTCTCTCCCAGCTAGCCGGCCTCCACCACGGACCACAATTCCCAGCATGCCCCTCGCGGGGATTCCCTCCACGTCGCACCTACATCATGAACCGCGCCTATATACGGAAGTCGTCTCCCCAGCTCATCACTCAGTCATCGTTTCTTCGAATCCATGATCAGAGTTACCAATCTACCGATCCATCTCAAAAACTCTCTGCTCACAGTAAGTGGTCTTACTTACTTCTAGAAAACCCAGCATTTCTGTGTCACTTCATTGACGCTCGAATGCTCGGGGATTCCTAGATTAAATCGCGAGCCGGCGTTTCACCGGCGCTCTCACTTCCGCGTCTGTGAAACCTCGCTCTCAAAAAGCTCAGCTCCTGACCCCAGCCGATCAGTCTGTCACAGAGTGAGTCTAGGGGACCAGATTCATTAAGTTTGAACTGCTGAGCTAACAGTCATTTGAGGTCATTTGCGCAGCAGATACCTCGCTGTGTACGTCTAATTTTCACTGAGTTTTCTGCTTCACGAGACACTGAGGTGAAAATCAAACCAGTTTGATATTTTTCGCCTCACAAGTGGTAGAAATTCATGTGTGTGCCCAATGTCAGCTGCTGGCTGAGCTGAAATATTCTAGTGGCCAATCAAAGGGTGTTCTCTGCCACAGATATAGTGACTCATTTTATTTTTTTTAGGGGGGAAGGGCGGTGCTGTCAATAAATGTAAAGAAAGTGGCATCTTGACCAATCACAAGCTTACAGTTTCTGGCACTTTCAAAGGACAGTTACTAAATTTGG